GGTCACCAGGCAATATTATCGTTTATCGCAATAAATTTTGAGACAATTAATCGCCCAGCAAAATTTGTTATCGTGACAGGCCTAACTTCAACTTGAGACTCAAACCCTCGAGAAAATACAGTTTGAAGGTTCACAAACTATCGACATAGAACCTATTAAACAAGTTTTAAAAATCCTGGAGTCTAACAACAAAAAGCCGACTCCCCCTATCGCCTACGCTTGGTCCTCGATCGATACTCTAATGTTTTCACTTGTAATATTAGGATATCTGATTATCGCAGTAATGACGTTCATCTATCTTCGTCACAAGCGGTCCATGCAAGCGTAGTTCGACCAATTCACCGCTCGTTTCCTTCGCCTTGCTAAAAGTAAAGATGGCAGACCCATCCAGACTCCTAACATCTTTTATCTGGATGAAGATGAGGATTCAGAGGTAAAAATATCAACTTCCCCCTGAAGCGGTAGAACTCAAGAGTAGATCCTTGGAGTTCCCACCTCAAGATAAATCACTAGTTTATTTTGCCATTAATCTTACTTTAATTTTCATTTGTTAGTCTCCCACAACAAAGAGTCCCATCCTTTAGCTATGTCATAAACTTGATCTAGTCCCCCATGACAATTAGAGTCCCACCATCCTGTAGAACATGTCAGAAGCACGTTGACAAGTTTATGTCATTTATGTTATTCATTTAATCATAGATTAGTGACGATAGGTCGTCAACGATTTTATTAATGTTTTTCTGAGTTACTCCCCTAGAGAAATTACATAGTTGTAGCCTGACTAAGATCAGTACCCCTGTAGGTCCCCCTGATAACTTATCTAGAGAGCACACCACCAGATAAGAGAGCAAACCTACCTCAACCCTGAGGGCCACCTAATCCTGACCAGAGATGGACCTTCTCGACTCTGCTCATCAGAGAGCTACCTCATCCGACCAGAGATAGATCTCCTCGACTCCAATCGTCAGAGAGCAAACTCATCCGACCAGAGACGGACCCTCTCGACTTCATTCTTCAGAGATCTACCTCACCACCTGATGAGTGAATCAACCAAACTCACCATCTGGATTATCCGGACCTGTCCTGTTCCTGTTTGGATATACCTTCACTGGATTAACTTTTTAAACATTTTCTGGACAAATGCTATGGAAGTACATCAAGATCTACCACCATGACTGTGCAACTTGCCATTCACATTATGCTGACGTGTGCAATTCACAACCGTGGACAAGGTTGTGATTTGCAAAGGGGGGATTTGTAGCGTAACGTGAATCTTTTCATCAACAGACAAACTCTTGCCTCTATTAACTTCACCTTTAAACCTCTGCAACTTCTCAATGGGAAATAATGACTGTATCTCCTGTGACCGCCCCCCATTTTTTTTCCTTATCTTGGTCACTTCACTCAGAGGAACTTTAGCTGTAGTCTGTCTATAAGAAAAAAAAAAAAAAAAAAACCACACAACTTGTAAAGACAGAACAGGAACTGGGAATGCCTCATTGTTTAAGCATCATTGTTAAACCCTTTGAAGCTTCTCCAAGGGACAATTGCCAGACTTCAGGTCTCAAGATACCTGCTTAGATGATAACAAAACAAAGAACAAAGACATTCCTGAGTCATAATTTCATTTTTGGTCTGACAGTGATCCTAGAGGCGATACTCATAATTATATCATCAGGGTTTATACACAAATCCTAGAGTTGAATTTACTACCTTTTACTACCTATTTTTACTACCTCTACAATATTTTTACTGCCAACACAAAATCGAGCAGCGGCCTTTTTTGGGGGAATGGTGGATTCACACCACTGATCCATGTACAGTTAGTTAACGCCCCGTCTCTCAAAGACAAAACTTTATCCCACTTGAAGATGTAACAGTGACTTTGTCTTCACCAAGACCTCACACACATAAATGTTCCAAATAAATTTCAAGAAGACTTTGGATTTTTTTTTTTCAGAATATGAACAAATTGCAATGACATTAAAATTTCACAAGCCGATGTTTCATTCCCAATAGATTATTGATAACGCGCCAAATCCTCAAACTAAATAATCAGCAAAAAAAAATCAAGCAAATTACACTGTAATTTTAGGGAAAACTGGTAAAACTTTTTCTCTGTATAAAAACAGCATTCATCAGCTGATAGCATTTAATGTTACTGTCAGATTGAGAAAGAGTGAGAGAGAGTATGCTGTGGGGAGGGAGATGGCAAAGAAAAAGAGAGAGAGACAATCCTGAGAGAAAAGAGACAGACAGCTGGAGAAAAGTAGAAAAGACAGAGAAACACTCTCTCTCACACAGACACACAAAGTGTGAAACAATACAATCAGAAAAACTGAGGACGAGTACTTCAGTTTGGGTACACGCAAATATAGAGTACTGATACAAATATTTACCGAGTTAGAACTTAAACATTACACAGTGATTGTAAAAATACATTTTAAAAAATAGAATCTGGCACTAAATCAAAAACATATCTGATGTTTGTCAAAATGAACCTCAGTTTAAACCAGAGGTTTATAATCTTGGTCCTTGAGGACCACTATCCTGCACGTTTTAGTCATTTCCCTGCTCTTCAGCAGTTTTTAAGCTCTGCAGAAACCTGTCANTTTTTTACTGAAAATAATGCAAAGATTAATTCATTAGACAACTTTGATTTATAAATTGATAATAACTTGTATTTAAAAGAGAATATAAATCAAAAACATGAAGAACATTATTATTTTGTTTATTAAAGAAAATAAAATAAATCTTTTAAGAAAGGATTTTTTTAAACCAGAGTCAAAGACAAGTGGAAATGTGTATTTCTGCGATGGGTAACCCCTGCAACATTAACAGATAATTTAGTTACCTGGCATAATCCTGGTGGCAGAACGGCACAGTACGGATACACTCGCTGACAAAGTTAACTGGGAAGGGCATCTGGAAGAACGTCTTCATCTGACACGGTTGYAAATTTGGCTCCTGTAAGATAAAACAAACAAAACATTTCAGACATTATTATAAATATTTATAACATATTTTATTATGTACAAAAAATACATGCTTTAAACATGAAACTTACAGTTATGAGATTTCTAAATGGTCCAGAATCATCAACAGGGTCAAGAGGTTTCTGTAAAACAGGAAAAACATAAAAATGAACCAAATTGTTTTCTTTTTTCTAAATGAGGAAGCCGTCTGACTTAACTGGAACAATCCTACCTTAATAATATTTGTTCTCACAGGTTTGCGTTCTTTTTTGTTTTCAGCAACATCCTTTATAAAACTCTCCAACTGTGCTGCTGATTCAGACATTTTCTSAGGAGTTGCATTGATCGCACACCTGGAGACACAAAGTGAAAAATACAGAAACACAAACGCCACAGATTAACAAAAACATTTTAAAAACGGGCAAAAAGACTGAAACATCAGGTCCTCTGTGCTGAAAATACTTAAGAAAAAGTCAATTATTTAGGCTGAAAATGAGCTCACCTCATGTTTTCGGGGTTGAAAAGGTGTTTTTTGATTCTGGGTAATGTTCGAATGACCTGACTGAGGTCTGGCATCTCAGCTACCCTCTTCATAAACTTCACCTAATGTTGAAATAAAAACACAATTTATCACCTCTGAATCACACAGAGCAGGAAAACCAGAAACTGACAGTAAAGGGTTTCCAAAAATACTGTATGACCCTACTCGTTCTCATCACTAAATTTACTGTATGGAAGAGGGGTGTACATCACCAGCTTTATAACAATACAATATTGCATCAATAAGTTTGGATGACGACTCAGTATTTCTCAATATCACAAAGTCTGTCACAATACGATTTTGATTCAATTAAATTGTCTGCGATTGATATAATGCAATATCATATGCCCATCTAACAAAATGACCGTTAGCTGGGTATATGACATCGACTCCCATCGAGCATTTGATGATGACATAGATTAATATTTTCATTTTGCCTCAATATAACATGATCCATTCAAATCGATATATCAGTATAGATCGATGTATCGTTACACCCCTAGTATGTAATGCAGTAATAATAAAATACGATCTATTTCTGCCACAATGAAGATAAGTGAGTTTGTCAAATTACGTCAATATTCTTTTATTATAAATAGAATATTTATAATAAAAGCTATTGAGCTATTTAAAGCCTGTGAATTCAACATTTTTTCAGCTTTTTGTTAGCATTTTGCTACTTTTATTTTTAGCTAGCCTTTTGCTACTTTTATTTTTTAGCTAGCCTTTTGCTACTTTTATTTTTTAGCTAGACTTTTGCTACTTTTATTTTTAGCTAGTCTTTTGCCATTTTTATTTTTTTGCTAGCCTTTTGCTACATTTATTTTTAGCTAGCCTTTTAGCCTTTTGCTACTTTTGTTTTTTAGTTAGCCTTTTGCTATTTTTATTTTTTAGCTAGTATTTGGCCATTTTCATTTTTTAGCTAGCCTTTTGCTACTTTATTTTTAGCTAGCCTTTTGCTACTTTATTTTTTAGTTAGCCTTTTGCCATTTTTATTTTTAGCTAGCCTATTGCTACTTTAATGTTTAGCCAGCCTGAAGAAATTTAAAGTTATTAGAGGTTAGTGCTGATGTTAGAAGCACAACACTATATTCTTAGGTTTTCCTTTTTGTAATGTTGACAGTGTTTGATCTATTATGTTTTGATTGATATAGATTAGTTACATGTCCGAAATAGGTGACAACACATAATCAACCGTTATGATAACAGTAGATGAGAATTTTGTCTGAATGCCTGTGATTCAGCCGTAGGTCAGTAGGGGGCGAACGCAGGCATTGAAGAACCTGTATAAATAGATGAACTTCCTGGTTTTTTGCCAGTGTTGGTTTCCTGTCAGCTTGAGTGACAATAAACCTCACTCAGATCCAGAATTCTGGTGTTGTATGGTTTTGATTCCTTCTGCAAATCATTTTATTTAACAATGGTGTTTTTAATATCGACTTCAGTTTATTGAATACGAATTTTCTTACAAGCCTTTTAGCATTCAGCTACTTTTATTTTTTAGCTAGCTTTTTGCTATTTTTATTTTTAGCTAACCTTTTGCTACTTTTATTTTTTAGCTAGTCTTTTAGCCTTTTGCTACTTTTATTTTTTTAGCTAGCATTTTAGCCTTTAGCTACTTTAATTTTTTAGCTAGCCTTTTGCTATTTTTAGTTTTAGTTAGCCTTTTAAACATTTTAGTTTTTAGCCAATGTCTTATTTTTTCATCATAACAAGACTTTAGCCTCTTTTAGCTAGCGTTTTCCTACTTTTAGCTTGCATTTATCTTTTAGCTTCTTGAGCAACTTTCAGTAATCATTCATGAACTGTGAATTGTTTAGTCTATGCTGATATTTTTATGCTCCAAACCTTCTTCACACATTATTTCAGGTGGATGTGTTCACAGAACTACCTGCTCCATCCCACCAAACGTCTCCTGAAGCCCCCCAGCTGATGTCAGGTGGCGACTGGCTCGGGTCATGGCATACATGTGACCAGAGGAGGAGATCCCGTTGGCCAGCTCCTGCGCTGACATCATCACCAGCACTCTCAGACGCTCTTCGTTGTCAAAATGGGGGCTGAGCGACAAAAACACATTTATTGGTTTGTAAAACCTGAAAGGCTCCTCAGATGAAACGATCAGATTCACAGTACCTGTTGAATATATCACTCCACAGCTGAAACATGTGAGCAAGGTTCCTGTCCAGACAGGAAGAGGACAAGAGGACACCCTGGGACAGAGACCAGAAACAATGAGAAGGGAAGTTTAATGTAGCAGAAAATCATTTTTATCCAAAAAGAGGAAACGGGTCATTTAAATGTTATGGTTGAAATGTTGRTTTAATGTCATCATCCATTTTTTCATCAGCATTCCTCCTCAGAGCAGCTTTCTGTCACCGTGACTTTAGAATGTAAAGCTAACTTAACTTTGCCGAGACATATTTCCAGTCCTTTTCTAGAATTGTTTTCCAGATCTGACATGTAGGCTGTACACAGATCGTCAGGGATTCAGAACCTCAATTCTGGCACCCACCTGCTCAAACGTGTCCATTTGGGTCGAGTCAGGGATGATTTGACTGGAGACAGACATCCCCCCCGTCCTCAGCTCCATCTGCTGGGCCTGTTGTCTGTAGTCCAGAGCTCCACAGCCCATCCTAACCGAACAGTTAACAACCCTTAGTCACTTCTTTAAAATGCACAGTTCATATCAACGCATCCCTTCTTTCCTCACAGGTGACCGACAGTTAATGCTGAGAAGGCCTGTCCATACAACCTGGACCCTGATAAGTGGTTAAAAATAGATATTTCTTGGGCTTTCTTCTATCGTCCCTAATCCTCAGTTTTGGCATTTAGGTCCGAGTTTGTAAGCAGGGTTAGGCAGTGATTTTTTTTTCATTGTTTAATGTGCTTTTTTCCAACCCAACACCCCTTCCCAAAAGAGAAAAACTAAGAGAAACAGTGTTTTTCTTCCATCATAGTTTGGTTTGAAAATATTATAAAATTAAGGAATAAAGGAAGTTGAACACTTTTAGTACAAAACAGAAGGATCATGAGCCTTTTTAATAAGTATTTTATTGAATCTTTTTTTAACTTTTTCTATAGTTGCTTGGTTTGGAAATCTAAGTGTTCAGAACAAAAACTGCTTAAACAAAATTGTTACTGCGGCAAACAAGATAAATGGGGTAACCCAATCCCACCATAATGATATTTTTATTTGTTGTATTGCCCAAAAAGCAAGGCTTATCCTGCACCGCTCAGACCACCTTTTAAACACAGAATTCCAGCTTCTTCCCTTTGGCCTGAGTTTCAGGCCTCCCGGGATTAAAAGAAACAAATGGAAGAACTCTTTTGTACCCACTGCAATCAGCTCTCTAAACTCGTAGTTTTTTAATCTCATCTATAAATTTACAGATGACTGCTTTTAATGTTTGTATGCAAGGCCCCACGTTGGGCGCCATGTTTGCTTCCCTAGGGACCCTCAGTTTACCAGMTGTAGGTCTAAGGATATTCCTTATTTACTCACTCCTCTGTCGCTGGGGTTGGGTTCGATGCCCATTTGTACCGCCACCATTTTGACTATTGGGTCATATTTGCTGGATGAGCTGATGAGGGATTTTGTCTCTCTGTCTCCTCATTTTTCCAGCTTTATAATCTACCATTGCAGCCACACTTTAATGTGCTCCTTTTTCTTTGTTTTAGTGGGATTTCTCACTACTATTAGCAGTGATAAATCATCGATCTTGGATCCTTCCAATACTTCGATGCCCTTCATATGTTCATCCAGTAATTTTGCAGCTTCTCTAGCTTCTCCTTCCTTGCTGTGTTTGGCTAGCAGCTCGATAGCACTGGGGTGCCACTCTTTGCACCCTTCTCCATAGAGAATTACATGATATGGCAGGAACACTGCAGTGTTTGCGCTCTCGCAGGGTTCATTCGGCTGTCTATTCTTATCCACCTCTTCAGGTGGGTATAAAGCTGCCATATTTTCGCTGTTCCTTGTCCAGGTAGGAGGGTCGGRCCCAGAAAGTCATTTGCCGTACGAACAAATCTGAGATGGGGGTCAACGGTTTTTGGCTACTTATCTCACCTTCTTGGGGCTAAGGCTACACTCAGTGAGACCTTTCTTTACCCTACACACACGCTGCGCAGTTCCTGCAGGGGCGGGAGTCCAGCGGCCCAGCCAGTCTTCCCTACGGTCTGCTTTCAACCTTGCAGATCGCCGAAGTCCACTTTCGTCTATTTTTCTTCACTTTTTTGGACTTTTTGGGATTTACCCTTTCTGACGCTAGTCCCGGGGGTCTCTCAGGACACCAGGGGCCCCACGTTGGGCGCCATGTTTGCTTCCCTAAGGACCCTCAGTTTACCAGGTGTTCATTGGTCTAAGGACACCCCTTATTTACTCACTCCTCCGTCTCTGGGGTTGGGGTCAGTACATAAACTCGGTCAGAGCAAGCTGTACAGATTATAGATCAACCTGCTTGAGTGAGAGATGGAGGATTAGCTCAGCATCGAGTTACTTTTATCTTAGGGGTACATCCCCATTTCATCGTGTTTACAAACCTATCCAAGCAGCCCAGTCATAAGAATGCAACCTCAAAACCACTAATTAACTGTAACTTCCTCCTTTTAAAGCGTGCAGTTGTTACCAGCTGAGAAATAGTTTAGTAACTAGGATTTTAAGTTACTGGGATGTTATTTAAAAATTCTTTTAACTTTTCTAAGGCAACCAGTCAGATCAACCATTAATTGATGTTGTGAACTCAGAACGTTTTCCATTTAACACACATGGAAGTAATAATTAAACTCACGAGTTAAAAGTTTTTGAGTTGTCCAATTAAATTGTTAAACAGTATATCAGGGATGTCACTAAAAGGGTTTCAGCAAATCAAGTTTGGAGGGAAAATTTACTTCGAAGACAAAGAAAGGAGTGTGTTTTAGTTTAATTATCTTGCATCTAATTAAAGAGGGGGAGAGGAGACATCTGTTTTGCCTCAGAAATATAAGATTGTCACACACTTAATTATTAAAATCAAGTCCTGAATTTTCTAAAGTGCTTTAACATATATAGAAAAAAATAAAACACACTATGCTTGAATCATGAAATAAGACACCTCTTCTTCAGGAGAAGTTCATCTAAAAACAAACACAATACACAGCTATTCCACTGAATAGTTAATTAAGCAAAAACGTAGTGGATTTTTTTAAATGGCTTTTGGTTATTTCTGTAAAAGAAATGGATTAAATGACATTTCTTTGCAATAACATATATAAAACAGACAATTAGATATACAGAAAACATTTCTTCATCTTTTTCCTTTTTTCACATTTAATGATGAATGTAGTCCTTTGATCAGTCAAGCTAGAAGAGAGTCTGGTGGTGGAGGTACGAGCCTTTGAAGAGGAAACAACAGTCTTTTTGAGATCAAACAGACTTGTGGGGGTTGGAAGACAGGAACTAATTTTAATAAGGAGGTGACAATTCTGTCAGATTTCTTGCTGGGACGTAGCCGCAAAGTCCGAGTTTCTTCTAGAGTACTCTGATAAGCACATACATTGCCTGTGGCAGTCAAATTTCAACAGAGTGGTTTCTCCTCTCTGAGCATTGCCATGGAGACGGTTAAGAATCTGATCAGAAATGATAATTTCACAGCAGGGAGGGCCTAAAGCTTGAATAGTTCAATTTATGCATGTAACTAAATAGAGCTATTATTAGTCGATGGCCCTCTTTTGCATGTGACTAACCTGTTTGTCCATGTGGAGGCAGTGCTTATAAGGCTGAGTTCACCTGAAACTCATCAGACTGAAGAAGTCTCTTGGAGGAGAGACGAAACGTTTCACTAAAGAAGAACCCATCTAGAGGACCCACTTATTTTTTCTTTTTGATTCTAAATTTATAGTTTTAAAATTTATTTAAACCTTTATAAATTGCTGCTTGTACGCTTCGACATTGTCTATGTTGTGTTTGTATGTTGGAAATCCCTGGCTGCAAATCAAATTTCTCTCCTTGGGGGAACAATAAAGGCACTGAACTGAACTAAAATAGAAACTAGATGCCCCTGTGAGTTAGAACTGGTAAAAATAAAGGGATGCAAAGTAAAGACTAGCAGCAGAACATCTGTTCCATAAGATTATTTTTGTATTTTTTTAATTCATTTGAAAGAACCTCTAAAAATGACCGGACCAATCTGAAGCATGTTTCTGGGTAAAACGAACATCCATGCTCGTCGGGTGASCTCACCTGGTGACCACGCTGCAGAAGAGTGGGACATAAACCCTGAGGTCCTCCGGCAGAGTGTTGAGACTACACATGGCCCTGAAGTACACCAAACCATTGGTGGGCTGCTCACAGTACTGCACCGGCACATCTCCTGTGYAGGTCAGGACAAAAACACTTCAAACACAAACAGATCATTTCTCAGACATCTCCGGTGAGGCAAAGACAAAGAAGTATGCTGCAGAACCTGCAGAGCCCATCTGAACAGGGGTGATGGGTATCGTCGGCTCGATGTCGGACACTTTGAGTGCAGGCAGAGTCGAAGCATCCTGAACTTGACTTTGAGCAGCCAGTAACTCCAGACCTTTAGAAAACAACACAGAACTGTGTCAGAAGCACCTTGTAGACACCAAAATACAAACAAAACAGAGAAGAAATAAGTGAGCAGCATGAATTTCAAAAGAACGTGTTACCTTTTTGATAAATCAGTTTTTTATCTGCATCTGACAGAGCCTGAATCTTTTCTTGCAGCTTCTTCTCCTCAGCTTCGGCTTGCTTTTCCAGATAGCCCTCATCTGGGCTCATCTTCAGGGTCAAACGATGTGTGTTATCCTGCACGGGGAGTTTCACACAAAGCTTTAGCATTGAATCCAAACAGTGTATAAATAACCCGAGGTGAAAACTGTAAGCCATTTGTTGGCGATGACCTTTTAAATAAAAAGACACAGGGGCTGTTTCGACAGATCTGTTCATTTTTAAACATTGTCAGGCTAAAAAAATAAGTACAAACATTATGAGGGAGAATAAAAACATATTTAATATTTTTTACCTTAAAATAGTGTTTGACTTTTTCCTGGAGAAAGCGAGGGTTTTCTTTCAGAGCCTGTCTGAACTTGGAGACATTGTCACTGATTTTCAGCAGCTCCACCGGGTCGCCATTATGGTTCCAGGATGAAGCTATGTGCTGTTCCAGAATGATGACAAGACAAAAAGATGACCCATTAGACAAAAAAAAATCTGTACATTCTATGTGTTTTACATTTAGGGAGGTTGTAACATTTTAAATATGAAGTAACTAAATAGGTAGCTTTATGTACAACATCACCTTTAAGGACAGGAAATGAGAACAAAAAAACAGATTTATTCATACGAAAATAGAGCCAACATATCACCACATGGAAGTTAATAAACAACCAGTGGTGGACACAGTTCCCCTAAAGCACTAATAGTGGAACTAATCTCCTGATTAGTGCTTTAAGGCTTTTGCTAATTTCTTAATTGATTAGTGGATTAGCCCTTAATAAATTTATGGGCTAAATTTATAAGCACTAATTGAGTTCTTTAAATATTACTGATGAACATTGTTGTCAACAGCTGAGGGTGAAAGCTGTCAGACCTGTTGGTCATATATGTGTCACTTCTCCACTAGATCAGTGGTTTTCAAACTTTTTTGCTTCCAACCCACAAAATAACAGTTGCAGACACTCCTGACC